ATACGGTCATAATCTACAATGTATTGTCTCTCGTCTGACGGAGAATTTTGTCGTTTCACCCTTTTGGCGTCGAAAAAAAAATTCTTGAATTTTTTTGGCATCGGAAAAAAAATTCAAGAATTTTTTTTTCGACGCCAAAAAGATGAAACGACAAAATTCTCCGTCAGACGAGAGACAATACATTGTAGATTATGACCATATTTTTTTTTTGTCTGAGATTACACTGGATTACGACGGGAGATTTCAAGTACACCGTAAAAAAAACGGTCTTGCGCTACATAGAGCCCTACAGTGGGAATTTTAATTTTTTTTTACCAAAAAATTTATTTGGACACTTGAATTTATAATAAAGATAATGGTTTAAACGGATTTCATGTATTATTTATATTTTGCCAGAAAAAAATTCCTAAAAATTAGCTTGTTTTTTATCTTGTCAGGGTATATTAACCCCTTAAGTCAGTTTATTTTGAACGACGTGTTTAACAAAATTATTATGCGCAGCAGCGAGACAAAACAAAACCTTTTTCTCTTAGAGAGTCAAACAGGAAGTGCTATAAAAGGAATGTACGCGCGTTCTTAAAAACCATAGAATTATTACAAACTTGAAAACGCGGTCTTTGGCATTGGTGCCAACCTATTTCTGTAACTAAATGACTAAATGATTAGATGATATTTCACTCTTAACAACTTCAACATTTCACACTTCCCAGCAAACACAAAATATAACAGCTGTATGACACAGAAGTAACATATAATATAACAAATGTGACTCGGTATTTATATAAAAATTATATAACTTTACATTGTTTATACAATATGAACGAATTATAGTATTATTATATTGTTCTGTTATTTATATGGTATAACAGACAAACAATAATATAACTGTATAATGTCGCGTGTTACATAACAACTGTTACGTTCAATTGTATTTTTATTATATAATTTGAATTACGTGAAAATTACGCGATCTTTCTAACCTCGCGTAGCAACCGGCGATAC